AATAAGAATTGAAGCTAAATGTCTGTAGAGCCAATACCACTCACAGACCCAGAGAGAACAATTATTTCTTCTTTACATGTCCTCTCAAAATATGGTCAAAATGATCTCTTGAAACTTCAAATTTTAAAAGTGTATAGGGAGTTACAGCATTTAATTTATATCCTACTTCCTCTAACAGAAAAAAGTACTGCTAACTTATTTATGTATATGGAATTTTAGTATTTCACAACTATACTTAGAACTAATCTATCATAGTGTGAGAGGAAAATGAACTATAGCAGTATTTTATTCTCTTAATTAGAATAAAATAAGTAAAATACTCTCCATAATTTCCTATTATTACAATGTAACTTATGTCTTTGTAAAGAATTTAACAGCATTGAATATTATATAAAATGTAACAAGTCTCCAATTCACAAACATAGACTTAACCTGGTGCATATGGGCAACACTGTATCTTTGCACTTCCCCCTTGATCCTAATAGAGTTCCTGAACATTTTTTTAAATTTCTTGAATTAAAACAACTAGGTGGTAAATGGAATACATCAAAGTAAAGCACAAGTCTAAAGCTGTTTATTTCCAGTCATGCTACTAGGTCCCACACGGAGCCTGAAACAATTCTAGAATATAAAAAAGGTAGGTGGGTGTGAACAAGCCTTTTGCTTTGAAATGTACATGGAAAACAAGGTACATTGGGAAATAGTAGAAAACATCTTGAAAGGTTAAAAATGATAATGGGGAGGAGACTATGTCTGTGCAGTATACATTTAGCCTTTGGAGGTATACTTAGGTTTTGTCTCTGTGGGCCACTAGAGATAAAAGTCATATTTGGTTTTTTGTGGTAGTACATATTTTGCCTGGGTGTGTCTATTACTCGGCTTTATATGATCTGATTTTTGGCTTTCATACCCAAGCTCTGTTCATATTCAGATGCACAGACAAACTACTTGGCTCTGGGTCTCATTGGTTCATGTTCTTCAAAAGAATAGTGTTTTGGAATTCAAGTTTATAATTAGCTTTATTTTCTTTTAGTCTTTACCAATTTTCCAGCCCCATTATGGCAGCCATTTTGTTAGGATACTGATGGCTTTCTGAAAGTTATAAATATGCCCACCAGGACAAAAAAAAAGGACCTTTAGACATTTAGAATTATCAGCAAAATGGATTTCCGTTCTCAAATTGGAACATTTAGCCTCTTGAAGCAAGTATGAAAACATTTAATGATTCTCCCATATTTGCTCCACAGAAATACCAAATACATCTGGAGTGGATCTATTTTGCAAATACTTAATGTTTGAAAACCAACTAATATAATACGCAGTAACAAAATTCTGTAAACTCTTCATAGCATTATTGATAGGTACCCACCAACTATCATACTGTACTTTTTGAATTTCATGTAATAAAATTAACTTTGATAACACTATCTAAAAGCTTATTTTGCATTAGTTTCATTTCACCACATTAATGTACCCAGTCTCAAGAAAGATTTCAGGCAGCAAAATGTATTTACTGCCTACTGAAGAACAGAAAAACTGATCAATATGGTAGATGTTGCATTAAAAGCATGCAACTATTTATCTAACACTTCTTCCAGACAGAAGAACTCCAGTGCATGTGGAATTTCTCCAATGTTTCAAAAAAGAATGGACAGTTTTTGTTGGTACATTGTACAATCCCTTCTGAATTTCAGCCCCTACAATTATGATATACGAAGACCTGAATAATTATAGAAAGAAGTGCCATGTATGTCACCTTGAGCTTCTATTTCTATTCTGCTTTTATTTTTAAAAAATAACATGTTCTGGAGTGGGTGGTCATACCAAGTTTGGGAGGCACTGAGGAGAAAAATGGGTGCCTAAATCCTGAGAAAAATTAGAACTCTTTCAATTTTTGATGAACTTTACAGGGCAAAACTACTGCACAACATAAAATCATTACACCACTAGCTACAAATTATAGTGGCTGAATTCCACAACATACCAAGCCAGAGAAGTCATATTATGGCTCAGCATGATATGTGAACCAGGTCACTGGGCAAAAAAAAAAAAAAAAAAAATTAAGAAAAATCATTCAGATCTGAAATGACACACATCTATCAACAACTTGTATTTACATCTGTTTCATTTGGCAGATTTCTATGATTTCAAATCTAAAATAATAAAAAAAAATTAAAAATTGTCCTCACATCCTAAAAGCCCCAGTGACATAACTGGGAATTCACTGGTTCTTATCAATGATTTAGGTAACATACTAAGATTTAAGTTTTTCTGTAATATGATTTCATTGTAATATGATCAGTAAAATACTTATACAGTTGAAAAGAAATTAATAGACATAGCACACCAACATCCTTTTAACTTTCCTAAAGTTTGCTAGTAGAGCTGGGCACTGCTGCCTTAGAACACATTACTGATTCATTTGTGACAGTCCAAACACCAGTAAAGATCTTAGCTAACCAGAAATCATCTTTTTAAAAAGCAAGACATGCTCCTTCATTTGATTTTTATACTCAGGAACATGCTATTTGTATAAGAAAGAAATTATCAAAATAAAAATGCTGTTCAACCGATATAAACATTTAACATAAACAGCACAATTCAGCACTAAACTAATGATAAATGATAAAAATTATGCTAGAATAGAGATTGACAATGTCTCTTTAATGGTGCATAAAACTATCATTCAACAAGATTCAAGACCACTTTTAGCAGCATTTACGCATGGCTCTGTAAGATGCATTTAAAAATGTAAAAGATAAAGCTTCTATGTACAAATTCTGACCCATCAAACTAAATATATAACTTTAGCCACACATTTTGCTCTAATAATTCTTAATAAGCTAAGTTTTAAATAAACATTAACACATACCCTGCAATCAGCTTGGTTCAGGCCAAGCCATCTAGACAGAGGTAAAATACCATCCGTAAATAAAATAAAAATGTATGCCTTATTAAATAAACACCCTTATGATAAGCAACCACTGGTTTCAGAAATTGATGGAGATAACACCCAACAAAATGCTTGCTTAAAAAATGTAAGCAGCTGCACATAAACTTTACCTTGCAATGATCCTCTTGCATTCCTTATAGCTACATATCCTATTCAAGTAGCATTATCACTGGACAATTCAAAAACTATCTCTTCTAGTCTACTGTGAAATTATACAACACTTAAAATTGGAACAATCTAATGTGTGAAAAACATATAGTTTAACTTCATACTTTAAGTTTGAAATGTAATGCAGAATAAAACACAATCCTTCTAACTTTACTTACTTTTAGCAAGCAGCTCTAAATTGTTCATGTTCTACAAGTATTTTCTACCAACAATGCCCAAACTTAGCTCACAGGAAACCACTGTCACAAACAATAGATTAAAAGCTTTTGTGAAAAGGATGCCCATTTCGAAAGGAGGCACTTAAACTACCTCCATAATTTTTGCCCTTGCCATATATCCTACAATCAGCCTTTACTAGCATAAAATTTGCAATGTGAATTTTTCTGCACCTATAGTTCAGAGATTATTAAATTACCCAATGATTTCTGCTGCAGAAACACTGTATCTGTCTTCAAAGGTGTCAGATCATTTTGCCTCTGCATGAACTAGTAGTTTGGGGCTGCTTTCTTCCAGTTGTCAGACAAGGGCAATACAGTGAATCAGAAGGGGGGGGGGGCGAATCTAGTAAGGCTAGGGACTTTTAACGCAACAAAGCTTGTCCTACATGTTAATCCTGAGAGAAACTTGTCTTTCTCAATTTGCTGTCCCATATATCGCTAAAAAACTGAGGGATCCTCTGAAGACGTCAAAAGTGGCATCGGTATACCAAACAAAAAATAATCAACCAAAGTTGCCTTTCTCTTTCTTCATTCTTGTGGGCAGAAAGAAGTCTAGATCCAACCCATAGGTCATCCATATAGGATGAAATAAAATTTGTCTAAAAATGTGACATGGGATTAATTCTAATTCAAGGAAAAAAGTGCTGAGAAAGCCATAATCAGATTTTCCTGCCCGCTCTACAAGTGAGTGAGATGTTTTGCTTTTGGCCTTTTGATTTTTCCCTTCATTTAAAATCAACTAAACTCCCTGCCATTTCTCCTGCAAAGGGGGTAAAGAGAGAAAGAAAGAGATACTATATGCCAGTAAAAACTGCCTTGAACTACCAAAAAATCCTCCTCAAAACTATCCTAAGCAGTAGCCTGTCACAGATCTATAACTTCTCTACCTTAGTTCCATAGAAGTTCCTTCCTAAATGTAAAGCAAAAAATGTCTCTATCCAAAACTGATAAGTAGAACCACGTACAGATCAGAGAGAACATTCTACATACTGCAAGCTAAGTGTGCCTTAAAACAACACAACAGTTCATGTTTGTTTTTGTTAAAAAGACATCAGCTTAAGAGTAATACTCTGCTCCCATCAGAACTCAGAGTTAGCTATGCAATCATAACTAACACTATCAGCCAGTGTTAAGACAAGCAGTTTTTCTTGGAACATGTTTTGCTTTGTTTTTGAGCAAAATAACAAACGGAATACAGAGAGATTTCGTCTATAAATACTGCTTATAATTCCTCAATAATTGCACAGCCCTATTGTGTATGTGAATTAGGACTGCATGCAAGAGAGCGCTCCTACAGGCCTAGTTGGCTCTCGCAAGCTCTCTCTATTCGCTCCTCCCCTCCCGCCTCCTGCTCTCCCTGCACAACATCCATGACGTACCTTTATTTCTAGCATAGTAACTCTACGGCTCTCGCATTAGTAGGATTATTATTATTTACCCTAACTCCAGGACCCCAGACAGATGACTCCTGAGACAGCACCTGCTTGACTAACAAAACAAACTTGCCTATTCGCGGGCAGAAACCAGGAGTTTAAAAATTGCCCTTATTTTTTTTTTTAAGTTGTTAAAAAAAATTGCGGGAAATTCAATTTTTAAAGGGCTGCTTGCAAACTTTCCCTAGTACATCACACCGCACCACGCCGCCTGGCCGCTTCTCTTACTAGGCTCTCATAGCTCCTAGGATGCTCCTTTCCAGTCCAGTCCGTGCGCTTGGGCAGCAGCTGGGGGAGAAAAAAGATATCGCCCGGTCACTAAAAGCGACCCCTTCCCCCCCAGGAAACAGCCCCCGGAGCGCCTGCCCACCCCCCGGCGAGGGGGGAGGAGGAGAGGCCGCCGCAGCCGCTGGCACTCCGGCAAGCGGGCGGGCAAGGGAAGAAACGCGGGGAAGGCGCTGCACCACTTACCTCCTTCTCGGCGACTTCTCGGATCAGGACCTGGAGGAGCGACAAAAAGGGGGAGAGGGTCAGGGGCAGCGCCGCCAGAGCAAGGGAAGTATCCCCACTCGCAGGCCCGGCCCCGGCGGCAATCCTTACCTGCGCGGCTTGCTGGCAGGGTCCGTCCTCGAGAAAGCGAGCGATGAGGAAATAAAGCTCTGCAGAGGGGAGGGGGAGAAGGGGGGAGACACACACA